CTGCTGGGCGGCCGCGGCCGGGCTCCAGGCGGTCAGGTGCAGCGCCGGCGGGATCACGTGCGTGGGGAGCCCCACACCAGAAGGCGGGGCTCTCTTCGCCTTTCCGGGGCGACCCGCCCAGAGTAGGGCAGGGGCTCCATCTGGTCCTAGGAGCCCCAGGTCTGCACAGATGCCCTTTGCAGTCCCCGCGCTCGTTTATGGGGCCTAGAAAGGTGAAGTCACTGGTCCAGGACTACTAACTAGTACTGTAACCCGAGGTGTCCGACACAGCACACCTGCCCTGACGCTTTTCCCGGCCATCCACCCGGATTTTTAGCTTTCTTATAGTCAGGTCTCTTCCTACTTTAAAGACACAGGCATCTAGGTCCCCTCCTAACGCCCTGGAGGGGCGACTTATGAACGAGGTCACGGTTCGATTCCCCATTCAGGGCACATGCCCCTGGTGCGGGATTGACCCCCAGTATGGGGCGTGCAGGAGGCAGCCCATCAATGACTCTCACTGATGTTTCTATTTCTCTCTCCCTCTCCCTTCCTCTCTCTGAAATCAACAAAAACATATGTTTTTTAAAAAGACTAATATTACACTTGAAGGGTAGTAGCACATATGAAATATGTTTATCATTATCATTAGTTCATCAGTAATGCTTATTGATGAAACTGAGATTCACGTACGTCTGCTATATTAGTGATCTATTGCTATATAGCAAATTATCCCCACATTTGGCAACTTAAAACATCAAACTTGTATTCATGATTTTGCACAGTTTCTAAGGGTCAGGAACCAGGGAGCGGCTTAGCTGAGTTATTCCGGCTCAGGATGATCGTGAGTTTGCGGTTCATCTGTCAGCTGGGGCTGCAGGCACCTGAAGGTGTGACTGAGGCTCACCCACCTGGCTGCTGGCTACAGGCCGCAGCTGCTGGGCACGTGCCCCTCCACATGGCTGCCTCGGGCATGGCAGCTGGCTCACCCCAGGTGGGAGATCCCAGAGGGAGAGCAGGGACCTTCACCGTCACTTCTGCTGTATCCTACTGGTCACACAGACCAACTCTCATACACTGTGGGAGGGCACTACACAAAACGGTGACTATCAGAAAGGGGGGAAATTGGGGGGCCATCTTGGATGTTGGCTACAACACCCAGTAACTTAGTAATATTTGCTTCTAAATTAAAACAGCTCTCCAGTCTCCTCTGGTACATACTTGCGTTCCACGTAACACGTGCAAACTGCGGTAAGTGGTAGGTGTAGTACTGGTCCAACGCCGTCGGCCATGGTTCCATCAGTAATGTTTTCTAAAATGGGGTACAATTCTTGGTAAAATTCCCAAGAAAATGAAGGCAGTTCTCAGAGTAGCTGCATTTGTGGGAGGGAAAAAAATTAGTGTGTTTAAAATCACGCAAAAATTATGTTGTGTTTATATGTAAATACAATTCCATTCTAGGCTTAGGTGATTACAAGCAGACTTTTCACCCAGGTGAATGTCTGGTGGGACGTTTGGATGTTGGGCAGGATGTGGAGAATTTCCTCTTTTTGGTCCACTGCCCTGCACATTGTGAAACTCCCAGCCTGCCTGGCCCCACCTCCCAAATGCCTGTGGTCCGGGTGAGGTTGGAAATATTTAACAAGAGGGTGACTTGACTTCCCATCAGAATAGATGCCAGCCAGCACAACCTACTGGCCCAAATGGGCTAAATAGAAGCTCTGTCCCTCTAGTAGTTGTGGAGATTGCCCCAGATCTCCCAATGTCCTCTAGAGGGCAGTAGCCTCTGCTGAAAACCACCCGGCCGGCCCTGCCCAGCCTCTCCCAGCGCTACACCTCGAAGGATACAGCACTCCTGCGGGCGGAGCTGATTGTACTCGCTGACAGACTAGAAAGGGAAGTTCAGGAAGGTCACATAACCAGCGAAAGGAAAACCTGGATCTAAATGCAAACCTCCCGAGCTCCCTTCCACTACACCGCATTGCCTGGAGCTCACTGGGATTAGGGGCAGTCAGGGCGGCAGGGACCTCGAGGCAAATAAAGGACAAGAATGACAGTCCAGCCCTGACTGGTGCGGCTCAGTTTGTTGGATGTTGCCCAGGGTGCACGGAAAGGTTTCTGGTTCGATTCCCAGCCAGGGCACTTGCCCAGGTTGCGGGCTCGACCCCCAATAGAGGGCGTGCAGGAGGCAGCAGATCCATGTTTCGCTCTCACAGCGATGTTTCTTTCTCTCTCCCCGCCTCCTCTCTAAAAAAAATAAAAAAATCTCATCGTATATCAGTAACCGTGCTGGATTCTTTACATACATCATCTCACTGAATCCTCACAATTGCCAGCCATTGTTCCTGTTTACACCTGAGGAATCCGCAGCTCAGTGAGCTTTGATACAGGATCGCACACCCACAGAGGGGCAGAGCTGAGCTCAGGCAGTGTCCACATGCCCCGTGGGATACATTCCTGTGTACAGTTCCTGTCTATCTCAAAGCCATGAGAGTCCCATGATCTCCCAGTTCTCAGTAGCAAACAGCAGTCCCCATTCTTGCTGGATGAAGGACCCACAACCGTGAGCAGGTCCCTCATGTAATAATGCTAAGCTTATGGGGGTGCATTTGGATGTGTCTGTCCTGTTGAGACCTGCAGGGAGGACCTGTCACTGAGTGGGGCTGAAGGACATGGCATCAGTCATCTCAGGAAGGTGTGGGTCCTCAAAGAGAAGCCAAACTTTTGAAATTGATCTTGGCAGGAAAGAAAATCCCTTAGACGTTACTTGCCTGGGTCTAGATTTGGGTGAGTGGGGGCATTCTTCGGGCACCAGAGGGCTGTCCCAGAGTAGAAGGATGTTGGGCTCTGTCAACGCTGGGCTCAGGCAAACTGGAGAGGGCCACAGGCCAGATGGTCCCATCCCAGGGACTGTCTTCCCTTCCCCTCCATCACCGCTAAGCCTTGAGGAAAGTTGTTTTTGATGTTCTAGACTGATCTCAATCAGGCCAGAGGAGAAGAGGGAGCCCAGTGTCCTTGACCTGGCACCAGGGTGCTGGTGGCACCAGTAATACCAAGGGGAGTGAGTATCTAAGGGTTACACTGAAGGCTGAGGGGCCCATCTACTCCTGTCATTTGCTGATTTCTGATTATCCAGATGCTAGAAAGGTGGGCTCCTTCTAAGGTCTTCAATAAATGCAGACGGAATGAATGGGACACTGTTGAAAGAAAAGGCACTACTTCTAGGAAAGGCAAACCACCACCGGCCATCTGAGGGTACTGGGAATGTCCCAAGAGGTGGCTGAGGCCCAGGGATGGGGACCTAGGCAGTCAGTAGCAGGGAAGTATGTTAGGAAGTAACAGGTCCCAGCCATGGGGACAAGTTACAAGGAACTTTCATCTTTGGGAGGGGCACCCCTGAAGCGAGGCTATGACCCGGCAGAAGGGTGAAGAACATCCATAGTAATGCAATCGTGTACCAAAGGACTGAAAATTGTGGTCTTGAGATACCAAACTGCTGAGGCCAAGCCTCAGGCACACAGACCACAGGCAAAGCCGAGTCATGTAGCTGGGGACAAAGCCACCGCGACAGAGGCTCTCTCCAGGCTCAGGGTGGGGCCGGGGCCCTGGGCCCACAGTCTGAAGAAAGGGGCAGTGAGAAGGCCAGGAACCAGGCAGAGCTTGATGGGGCCAACCAATGAGTTCAGGAATCTCCATAGATTACTGCTCCCCTGAAAAGCCGACAAAGTTAGGAGGTGAAAAAGCATCAGAGAAGGCCAAGGCTGCGCCAGAGATGTGTCACGTTCCAATCCAGCCAACTCCAATGAACCGGCCCAAATCTTCTGTCTGACCTGAGGCTCAGTTACTTAAATAACTAAATCTGTTTTTACTTAATTGAGTTACCTTCTTAACAACAATGATCTATGTCACAGTTTTGATCTTACCCACCTAAAATTTAATGAAAAGACATTTAGGTGGTCAGCCAAAAAGGTGGTTAATTATTAGCTGCTTACACAACAATGGGCCATTGAGTAATCATTAAAATTAACTTTATTAATGTGGACAACAGTTACAAACATAAAGTGTGCTGTGCTGAAATTAAGGACTTACTGGAGTTTTCTGATAGCTTCTTCTTCCCATTATCCAATATGGAAAACGGTTTCCTTCCTCTATGTCCCTGCAACGCAGTTCGGGGTCACACACGGAATTCCCTGTGCAGCAGCACTCACAGAACCGCAGCCTTCTAAAATGTTCTGGAACGGAGCTCTCCTTAGAAAGCCGTGAGTTGTGCTGTTCACAATTTTGTTTAGAGCAATGCTGTCACTCTAGAAGCCAAATCACTCATTCAACAAAATCCCCACGTATTATAGCAATCAATGTCCCATCATTTAAGCATAAAACGATGCTTAGTTGTACTTTTAACTATCACATACTTTACAAAATAGCTGTTCTTCCGAAATGAGAGCGGCCCATGCCACGCTTCTACATCGCAGCCACCGCACGGTGCTCTGGACTAGAGGAAACCCACCTGCTCCTGCTGACCGCTCTCCATACCCTTCTAGTTGCCCATCCTGTGGCTAGAGCAAATACGCAAACCCCAGAAAGTCAGATTGTTCTGAACGTGGAGGGGACACAGCCACCCCATGAACGACAAACTCTTGTCATTCGCCAAAGGTGCAGACTGGTGGGAGATGCAGACATCTCGTCATTTACTGAAGGGTTCCTAAGACAGGAAATCAGACCCCTGAGAGGGGAAACGAAGATTTTCATGTGACTGAAAAAGGCTCTGGGGAGTCCCACCCATGACATAGCGAGACCTCAGGCAGATTTATGTAAACCTAACATCTCAACCTCTGAGGACAGATGAAGCCAGGAGTGAAATCTTGTTTCCATTGAGCCCAAGGGTTTTTCACTCCTGAAATGTCAGAAAACGCACTCGAAACTCTTTAATAGTGGACAAGGGAGTCTATTCCTAGAATAGCTAAATCAACCAACTTGGCCGATCGATTTTTGCAGCCAATGGATCGTGAAGTTAGTCAGGAAAAAGTACAACCCACATATGTATATGTGTATTTTTAATTCAGTACCCACAGAGAAGCCCTTTATAAAAAAGGAGAGTGCAGTAACTCCATAGGCTATTTCCTCACCAGCATTTCCTCCCATGGAGCGTTGCAACAGGCTTATACTACTTTTGAGCTTTAATAACCTCAGGTGTGTAAGTGCAGCAAACTTGCAAAAACATACATCATTTGGAGGTTTACTTGCCTACATCCCATACTGGTTTAGTTTTATGACTTTTAATAACATATTTTTGTTTTTCTGTTGTTGTTTGAGTGCCTGTGTCTGAAGATGGCAAATGGTTGTAAGAGTTTAAAACTGCGCTAAGACGTTTGGAATACCCAGTCTGAGTCCCTCACGGCTGACGAACTCTGAAATGGGTTAAACTGTTTTCTCAGAGGTTCTCTGCTTTCCCTGCTGTACTCCCAGGGCGAAGCTGCTTGAACATACCTGAGGCAGTTTCTTACAGCTTTCTGCCTTACACATTACGGGAGCTGTGATGAGTTTTGTGAAAAGCACTGAGGCACACAGTTCTCAAACTCCTGCGTAACAGCCACAAGTCCCAGCCTCTATGTGTGATGTCACTACAACTGAAAATGATTTGGGGTAGTACTGTGGACACTGAGATGGTCAGATTTTAATAAATTTCCACATATTCGTCCAGTTGAAAAAACCTGTCTTGACTGCAGGTGTTTTCTCCCCTTCTACCCAATCAACGCTATTTGGGTTTTTATCTGTGACTTGTTTTGTTTTCATATGGGCCTCATATATTTCCTGGGCTCTGGCAATTTCCTTCTGTGCATTGAAATGGACTTTTTGCCTGGTTAGGAGGGGAACAATTAAATTAAAATCATTAATTCGCTTGTTTAGTTTTCTGATGTTTTCCTGAAACTGCTCACAAACTTGGTTCCACTGTTTCTGTTCGGTGGGAGTCATGGGATTCCCAAGTTTTTTCCTGGACACCAAGATTGCCTCTCTGAGCTGATCGATAGTATCCTTTATTTCCTTTTGCATTAGGATCCACTCCGGTTGGTATCCATTATCTATCAATATTCTGTTCAGGTTGTGAGTCATGGGATCAATATATGAACAGCCAGAAAATTTCTTTAGAGGTTTTCCTTTCCCGCTGAGATTGTCAAAGTCTCCTTTTGCCATTGACTCCTGAATGAGATCCTCCACTAAACGCTCTATTGCTTGAGTTATCTTTTGTTCTTTACTCTGTCTCACGTCTTTAACGGTTAGGCTATCAGGGAAATACTGGCTGTGCAGTTTCTGCTTTTGATATTCCATCACTTGCTCCGCCGCACGGTCCGCTCTAAACTGCCTATACTGCTTCTCTCGCTGGCTCGGAGTTCCAAAGCCAACGCCTTCGAAACTTAAATAATGCCGGTGTTGGGGTGCCGTGTACTTGGTGTTTTCGTCGTCGTCTGCCTCTTCAGCTTTATTCTGTGTGGCCCTTGCTTGTTCCGTCACGTGGGAAAGCACCTTCCTGTAAGCTTCTTCGATCTTTATAAATGTTGCAGAATCGGCAGTGGAGGAGCCACCGTCTGGATGGTACTGCTTGGCAAGCTTACGGAAAGATTCCCTGACGTCCTCCGCAGAGCACCCTTCCTCCAGGCCCAGCAGCCTGTAATATTCTCGCATCTTCTTTTTCGACTTATGAGTTGACATCCTATTTCCAATGACTCCGAGATACGGAAGCATTGTCACTCGGCTAGGAATCACGGCAGCATTTATCAGACGAGATCTTAGGATGTGAGCCATCGTCACATGCAAGGTGTTCATATTTGTACCCAGAGCTCTTCCTAGCAACGATCTACAAAAGGACAACAAACATAGGGTCGAGAAAGCTGTATGATCTGCTAAATTCATATTTGCAGCAATAAGGACAATGTGGGCAGTTCTTTCTAAGGTACCAAAGTTATTATTTTTTTTTGGAGAGAGGAGGAGAGGGAGAGAGAGAAACATCCATGAGAGAGAAACATCGACTGGCCGCCTCCTGCTCGCCCTGTGCTGGGGGCCAAGCTGCAGCCTGGGCATGGGCCATGACCGGGAATGGAGCCGGTGGCCTCCTGGTGCACAGGCCGAGGCGCGAGCCACTGGGCCACACCACCCGCCAGCCTGCCGCAGTTCCTGTCGCTGTATTTCACCAACGTAAGCAGGGGCATGGGAGCTGATGAGGTCCAGCATGAACGCCCTGTGATATAACCCGGGCTCTACTCGCTAGCACACAATTTTGGAGCAGGCGAGTTCTTAGCGATCAACTGATGCAATCTTCTCATTTTAAAAGGACATGTACCCTGGCCGGTGCTGCCTGATGGCTGGAGTGCCCTGCAGCACCCCGACAGGATGGAGTGCCCTGCTGCACCCCGACAGGCTGGAGTGCCCTGCAGCACCCCGACAGGCTGGAATGCCCTGCAGCACCCCGACAGGCTGGAGTGCCCTGCAGCCTCCGGACAGGCTAGAGTGCCCTGCAACACCCCCAAAGGCTGGAGTGCCCTGCTGCACCCCCAAAGGCAGCGGCGGGCTCCATTCCTGGCCAAGGCGCGCCCCTCCGGTCGCGGGTTCGAACCCCGGCTGGGGGGCTGCGCAGGAGGCCACCCACCCGCGTCTCCCCGTCACGTCTGCGGTCCTCTCTCCCCCCAAAATAAACACAAACGTGAAGCCCTGGAGGCTGAGCAGCATGAGCGAGTCCGAGCGCGAGGGTCTCGGGCGCAGCGAGCTGTCCGTCCGTCCGTCTGTCTGTCTGGCCAACTTCATCTGCACCCCCGCCGCCCGGCGTCTCGCTG